TTGTAAGGTTTCTTTTAAAAAGGACTGGCTTTTTGAACTTTGTTAAAATGAATTTTATTCATGCTTGCTGTCAAGAGAAGCACTTAACAGAAAAGGAGAAAAATGGATGAAAAAATCGTATTCCTCCCCGGCGGGGAATCGAACCTCGGTCTCCCGCGTGACAGGCGGGGATACTTACCACTATACTACCGAGGAAGTTAAAATCGACGATCTTAAATACCGACTGGGACATGACCGTTTTGTTCACTGACATGTCACTCGGTTCAGGGGGCGACTCAAAAGTAAGTCTCCGAAGAATCCATATCATGGCATGAGGTTCCATGGTGTAATGGTTAGCACTCTGGACTCTGAATCCAGCGATCCGAGTTCAAATCTCGGTGGAACCTGACCAGCATTTTTTTTTAATCCAATTTACTTTTCTGCATTTTAGAAAGAAAGCCTAAATAATGTCAAAAACAAGAAACATGTAATGACGAACACATAATTGTAGAATTCAATTTTCAATCATACGAAAGAAGTGTGCTTTTCAGCTCAGTCTTTGGAAATCAGTTACAGGTCCATAGACTTACATTTTTTTCAAAAGTGTAGATGTATATGTGCTTGATTTTCATGATAACATTTCTTTGACATTATTATTATTTAGAAGTGGGGGAATGTTATGAACAGACGATTTCCACGAACACAAAAATCACTGGACTACCATCTGCCCGTTCCATTTTAGAGGCGACAAAAAGTAATGTCCTGTAAAAAAAAAAATAAATAAAACTAGTCTACGAGGATGGTGTCATTCATTATTGTCGTTTGACTATATGATAGCTTCCATGTACTTTTATAAGTTCAGGTTCATAATGCAAGAGATGGAAATCTTGATTTGTTCACTGTCCATGCCAAGGGTTGGTCTTTGAGAAAGCCCCGAAAAAAGAAAGTGCAATACCTTGGCCAGTGTGGGGGTCGAACCCACGACATTCGCGTTATTAGCACGACCACGGCCAGGAACACGTTAAGTTCCAAGACAGTACCGTTGTCAGAAACCTTTAAAGTTAAGCACTGAAAATGGCGCGTTGTCATGAATTTTCAGGTGAGGTTATGACAAAAACTGTCCGGTGTCATTACTTGAGAAGGCAGGTCGTGAGCAGTTTTTCATTTTTTAAGTTAAATAATTTCAACCAATGTCTGAAATTGCAATGGGGAACAGGACTGACACCCCTTTTGGTGTTGTATGAATTTCAGCCGTTAAAATGAAGTCATAAAAGAGGATTTTGCGTTGGCAATCACATGCCCATGTGTGAAGTCATGTTCGTCAGCCTGAAATTTTAATATTTCTTGCGTAAAATTTATCAATTTGGTCCTTTTATTTTGAAATATGAAGAAAAACTTAATTTTACATGTGTTAGGCAACTGACAGCCTATTCTTGATAGCAGGCTTTAAAAAATCGCAATTTATAAGCAAAACGTCCGTTGTCAGTACATGTTAAGTTTTTCTAGTCCGGTGTCTTTTTCTTAACATATACGTTTATCAATAAAACAGTCTGACTAAGGCCATTCCCTACTATTTCAATTTGTTAGAAGTGAAATAGTACGGGCTGGTTTTAGTCAGACTGATCAATAAATACGTATATAACAAAAATGATCAAATGTATATGTACTCTCAAGAAAGAGAAAGCATATTGCAGAAAATTTTGAATCTTTTGGGTGGTCGTCTTAGGAGTAGTGTATATACACCAACGTGCTAACCATTCTGTAAATAAATGTTTTTTAGTCAATTCATTCTCATAGTTTACTAGACTGCAAACGTATAACAATTCCTGAAATATTATCAGTAAAACAAAAATAAAATGCTGGATCTACACCTTCTTTTAAATACAGAAGTTTTTAATATGTATTAAATTATTGACAAACAAGTTGCTGAAACAAGAATATTAAAAGTCTTGTCAGCAAATACAATTTATAATGGAGTCAAATGCTGACTGACGTTTTTCATACAGTTATTTGATCAGGTCCGAATAAGAATCCGATTTGGTGGTGCTATAAAATATACTAGGCATTATTTCAAAATCTTAGTGTTTTGTCAAGGTAGTTCGATGACTTGTGGGATTAAATATTGTTTAATAAAAGTTCAGCCTTCCCTAAAAAAAAATATTTCGCAAGTTAACATAGGTGTCCATTTTACCAGTAACGAATAAGCCGACGAGTTCCGGATACCGTATAGATTCTTATTCAATTCAACCCTAAATTGAAAAATAAATGTCCTAGACGTTATCCATTGGCATGCCTAAGAAAAGTTAAATTCGTTGATTACCAATAATTATTTGTATTTCCAAAGGTTGAAGAGAAACTAGAGGTACTGTGGGCACTGAGCTCATTTTAATGATACCCCACACCTCCTTTATGGTTATTTATGACAAAATCCATGTTTTGCTCTGGGAGACCCGAAATAAGTGTCGGATCAAAAAGTAAATAAAAGGTCACAATGTCACAATGTAATAAAGGATCTGTGACAGTTGCATTAAATCTTACTCAGTGGTATAGGAGGAATTGCGGATAAGAGATGGATATACCTTTCAATATTACAAAGAATGGCAGTATCTACATGTATGTTTTACTCAGGGAGCCCAAATTATGTGCCAGATCCCAAAGTAAAATAGGTGCACTTTGGCACTGTTAAACAAAGATTCTATGAAAGACTCATTAAATTCTGTGAAGCCTCATTAAACTTCATTCAGTGGAAGAAGAGGGGTTGGGGATAAGAAATGAATACCCCAGAGAGTATCAGACGGACAGACGTACAGCTAGACAGACGGAAGGACATACAGACGGTTGGATGGACAAACATCCCATTACTATAAACCCCTTTCTTCCTGTTTTTAAAGCGGGGTATAATAAGTCATGCTTACAATGAAGAAAACAACGAAGAGTGAATTTATAATAGTGTTTAAAATGGGTATGCGGAACTGGTAAAATAAGAACACGAAAATATTTCGATATCTTCCAGTGTTCTTAATATTTATTTTTGACAATTTTTCAGTATATGTTAGAGTACATATCAAACTTACTTTTGATACCTGGAACGTTGTTTTATGTAAAACATTTATGTATCTACAGAGGTTTTTCTGCAGACTTACGCGTTACGGTGATTTTTTGCATTGTAGAAGTATGCCTACTGTTTTAAGTACGATAACGAAACCAAACTGAAGGCAAAAAATCAAAACTTCACATAATTCAAACACTCATAAATAAGCCTTCTTACCATAGATATCAATTTATTTTTACACCGTTGAATTTATTAAATATCAGTCCTTAAATTACTAATTATTCGGAACTGGCCAA